TTGTCTGACTGGACCACCAGGGTTCTTGTACGAGCACAACATCTATACCTCTCTCATGTGCACGAGATAGCGCGATGTCGTGTGTAGAACTTCCTCTTACAACACTTATTGAAATAAGACTGAGCTTAGATAGAAAAGGGACTCGGTCCCGAGGGACGCTCTTCATAAGCATGGGGTGGCGTCAGTCGGTAGGACTGACGCAGCTGGGATTTGAGCCGACGAGGGCTGATTTGGCGTTGTAGATTTAGCTCCCGCATTTTCAACTAGAGCTTTCGCTTGCTTTACCGCCTCAAATTCTTTTTGACCTGCATTCCGGATAGTTTGCAGTTGTAACTTTGAGTGCGCTCCAGCCCGGGTTGGATGAGCTAGATAGTTACGGCTGTCTGAACTGTGGGGGCCGCCACAATTCCGACACTTTTTTGGTGCTTGGCAATCCCTCTCTAAGTGCATGAAGGATCCACATTTGCCGCACGCTGGAGTACGGGAGCACCCACCTGCCAAGTGGTGTCGTTGGCAGCGCGTGCATATCACTTGGGGTCCACGCTGCTTTTTGGGACATGCTCTTCCGAGTTTTCAAACAGTCTGAAGCCGCAACGGGGAGCGTTTTCGCTATCAAAATAAGCTACCCATGTGCGGTAGGGTGCTGCGAATTTGGACTTGCCCTCGTGGCGAACTCATTTGGCTATTGCACCAGTAACACGATCTATCTCACAAATAATTTCTCTCTCTATTACTGCGACACGCCTATATAAGGATAATATATGCATAGGAATATTAGGCAGCATATGTTTGACCGAATTTTTTTGCGCTTCCAATTTGAGGTCGGATAGAAAACGACTCGATGACAATAACAAGTGCTGTCTAGCTGGCTCCTCTTTGACTACTAAAGCAAAACCGCAAGCCACAGGTAAAATGTGGTTAATTGAAGTTGGCGAGCAGCCAACCTCCTGAACTACGGCATCTTTAATTCCAGCTGGTGTCAAATTTCGCCACTCATAATTGCGTGGAATTCGCAGATATAGGCGTTCGATATTTGGAGCCGCCTGTGCTTTGCCTGACCTACCTATATGAGCGCTGGGCTTGGCAGTCGAGGGGTCTTTCTTCGCTTTTTCAGTCAAGTCGATGATATTGTCGTTCTTATTCTTGGTGAGACCTCTTCGAGTTACTGAGGCCTATTTTTCCCCGCTACAATGTCCTGTTGTAGGAGCTGGCCTGGGAGGGCAAGTCGTAGCAGGCGTGCTCTTTTTCGCATTCACCTTCACCGCTGGAGTCGCTGGAATTGTCAGAGGTGTTGGTCCGGAACCGACTTGCAGAAACTTGACCACTGAGATTCTAAGACTCGAAGGAAGTCTACCACATCTTTTTTCCCATCTGACAACATGGGGAAAAATATTTTCTGCGGCACTAATTGCCGTAGAGTATACTTCGATTGTGGCATTCACATGAGCTGCCCGCTGTCTTTCTGCCTCGATCAAGGCCACCATCTCCTGTGGGTCTACTGATCGATCTGTTTGACTTTCCAACGAATTTTTTGTTTTCGGTGGCAGCCTTGTGTCCGAGGCTAGTGTTCGGTTTGTAGCCTTGGAAGGGGGCTTGGTAGTGTGAACAATAGGAGAGGTTTCTACCGGCTCTTTATGATTGTTCACCATTGACACAGTTGAAATTTTCTCCAGTTCCTATGCTGATTTCGATGGAGCCCAGCGAGAGTCCGCGAGACCCTTACCTACAATTTTATCGACTTCAGCGTCGACCATATCGATTGCGGGATATTCAACAATTCCCTCGTCGACAGCTGTTTCAACAGCTTCCCAGATCATCTTGTCAATGGCAAGTCCTTTTTCGTGCAGGCGCATGAGCATCCTGCTTTTGGCATATTCTACCAGTGAGTGCTGGCGTTTAGTTGTCTGCACCGGAGGCATGGTGGCCTACGGCGCGAGTACAGAGAGCGAGAGTGTGGGGATAGGGGAATCTGATTGTGTGAAGGTTGTTTTTGTGATTTGAGAGGTTGGGAACCGCTGTGTAACAATGCGATCAAGTTGGAATTTTGATATCGGGATGTATCGATGATGTGATGCCTCTCAAAACCGTTAACTACGAGCTTCTTGCGCACAACTGTTACATCAGCTTTTCCCAATTCTCGTAGGAAATACATGTCTCAACGACCGAGTTCCCGGCCTATCTATTGCTCTCAAAAGGGACTGGATATATTTGTCATCGCACAAGTTATAATATGCAGGGAACAGAGCGAGGAGGGTCATTCCTCTGACATCAAATTGATTAAATTTTTGGTCGTTGGAGTTGGATTTGTAGTCAATGTTTCTATTTTGGCAAGCAACTAGTCTCACGGTGGTTCATGTGGTAAGACTTGAACATTTCGCAGACGTTATCTTAACTATGAAAACCCGTCATGAAGATGTAGTGTACTTAGAGCTTTAGCCCAGGGCCTTTCTAATACAAAAGTTCCTTCTCTAGAATTTCATTTTGAGGCAAGTTCGTTTGAACGCAGAAGTCAATCCCTAATTATATGCCACGATTATTGTCCTCCTACTGGTGACCATGATGTCCTTGGGATATACTTGAGTGTCACGTATAGCTTGGTCATTGAAACGAGGATGTAACAGGCCAACCATGTAGAATCGATGAGGCTCTGATTGGGAACAGTCTTGTTGGGAGTGAAAGTGTGACAGAGTATTTTTGGGGAGCCTCGAATGATTACCTCGTGGGCCAACTTCTTCAATATAGCAAGTCCTGACTGAGCTTGGGACCAAGAGAATTTGTTACTTTAAGGTTCGTAGGGAATACGGCTAACAGGTATCGATTTTTCGTCTTTTTGATAACTCGATCCTTTGTAAAAGTGAACCAGCATAGATTAACTGATTCATCTTTTACAGCACTAGTACTATATGTCACTCGTTTCTTCTACATCGCCACTATCGTTATATAGTCAGTTATATAAGTTTTGGAAGTTTAGATTTACTGTGCAAACTATTACTTACCAAAGATCTTTTAATATAATAATCTGAACAGTCAAAATTAGAAACAATCTAACCTTCTAATACATTCACCTTGCGTTAGCAAAATCGAGGATTCTTCCAGAAAATTATCCTGCAAGATCAGCTTTTCTATAATAAATTGCATGTTATAAGTGGTTGGCGTAAGCATTGTTCACCAGGTATGGTTTTGAGCATTTAACAACATCAATCTAACTTCGTGGGCTTCAATATTGATTCAGTTCTCGTCGCATTCTCTTATGCTAAGTTACGAATGACTTTCACCACTCTGGACTGCTTGTTAACTCTGGCACATTCACATTATTGAGTTGAGATTGAAGCGCACCCCGATAAGTTGAAAACAACCAACGAGTGCTAGATTTTCTGGAGTCTTTAAAGATTAGCCAAGGATCAACGCGCCGCAAACGTCCCCAGATGAAAAGCTATGGTGCCTGTCTCAGCTTTAGCTAGTGTAGGGCATGGTCATGGGTGTCCAAGGTAGCGAAAGATAGCCCTTGGGTTGGAGAGCCCACATGGATGTTTCGAAAATCGGGTTACTAAATCCGCGATTTTAGACACGATATCGTGGGAACGCATTGAGTGATCTTAATGAGGAATGGAACATTTGGAGTAGTTGCTGTGAAGATGTTTTCATGATGCTCCTTTAATGACAAGAAAAGTGGCCAAGCACAAGCGAGATCATTGTGAAGTATCGCTCTGCCCTATCTTTATGTTGGCTGAGGCTATTATTACCAGGATAACAGAGAAACAAGTCAATCTATAAAGGAGCTTATCAGCCCTGGATGTCGGAAGACTGGAGGCGAGATTATATCAACGCACCAATGAAATCTACATATATGTATCGATTCTTCTTAGAGAATAGTCGAGCACCAACGCTCTGTTGCTATGATGGTAAGGAATATGTACACGCCATGGCTAGGATGAATATGCAGAATTCCTTATCCGCAAAGCCACCGACGATCCAATCAGATTTTTTATTAGCGCAGTTTGCATCCAGTGTCTTGACTGCTAGGCGGGTGGACCGTGTAGCTATAGCTAGCCCCGCAGGGCTGTTGCGTAGGGGTTCAGGGTTAAAACAGCAATGATAAGGTGAGCCGGGGATTCACGGATCATCAGACGAGGTCATGTTTCCTCGTACTCCAGAGGGCACGTGCCCCAACCGTTCAGGCTAAGCATTCGCAGAACGATATCGGAAGGGCTTCATTGGTGGCTGACCGACTTTTCCCAGTGCGGAAATCGTTTGTCCCTCTCCTCGGTAACCTTCCGCATCCTTCCTTGGCAGTAATACCCACCCCCCGGAATCTTGTAACTACGTCGCTGAGCAAAGTAACAAGTTCTGCTCCCCTCCATGGTCCATCCCCCTGGACTGCCTTCATTCCTCTAGGCCGTTATTACAAATTCTACATCAAATTTCGGATTATCATGATGTGCGACAGATACATGAATAAAATTTCATTCTAGCCGATTTAGAATTCTCTTTGTCTACTAGTGTATCTACAACATCGAAGTCTGGTTGTGCTCAGCAACTAAGCTAAATCTTCTTCGGGAATATCTAGTGTTCAGTTTCATCCTCCAGTTTTACTTTACTCCATCCCGCTATCATCATCATCTTCATCCACGTAACTAGTCCATCAAGCAACGGCTACTTACCCATCAGAGGATCCACCCGCGGCTTCTTCAGGCGAATAACTATTTTCGTCATCTATCTATCCCCACTTTGGATTGAGAATATCGCAACGCAAGCAACGGCAAAGTTCTATCAGACAACGTGGCCGGATAATAATTCACTTCTACTAAATTCTATCTGATAAAAACTCTCTATATCTCTGAGCTTCCGATTATCTTTATTAACCCCGCGAGATAATCGCGCAACCATACGGGGGCGTAGAACCTGGCAGCGCCCGATAAACTACGACGATATCCTGACTTATCTTTCTTACCCTCGCAATCGTTTATTACTTTTTATTTTTGAGCAGAGTATTACGAGTTATGATCGTGGCTCGAGAATTATTCAACCAAAATACAAACTCATCAGATATTTATCCATCAGATCAAATAGTCCGGCGCGCTTGTATTCATTCAGCGCACAATGGTATGAACTCTTCGGTCCTTACGCGACCAAGTCAGGAATTTTGCCAAACAAACTTGGATCAACTTAAACATCAGCCGATTAAAATATCTCCTACAAGTATGAAAAGAAAAGAAGAATTAATCAATTCGTTTCGCTCTTCCAACGACACCTCAACTATAGGTCCTTATTCGGTTTTTACAAGGGGGTTGCCACCAAACATAACCGAAGAAACCCTACGATCAATGTTTGGCTGGTCTGAAGAATTTATAGCAATCAAAACCTTACCTATTGATCAATCGGAGGATTCATCACCTGATTCGGCTGTCATTTATTTCCATACTTATAGTGGTGCATTGGAGGCTAAAAATATTCTAGAGGGGAAGGCTAACATGTCTCGTGATTCATCCGTACAGGTTGAGGTTTTTTACTCGGGCTCATTATCATCTCCACAGCGATTTAGTTCAGATAGCATAGGCCACACGTATCAATCTACTTCTACATCATCATCTCCATCATCTTCTGGTTGCTCAACTCCACGGCAGACCACAGTTTTTAAGAAGAGCTTTCAACAGTCTCCACGGATGTCTTCAGCTAACTCGATATATGTGGGAACTGAGCTTCCAAACCCAAATGATAGTACTTTGTATCAAAATCTCTTTTCCCCCCAATCTCCTTTCGGAAATCATCTTAGTGAGGGAACTAGAGTTACAGGAAAATCTTTGATAAAAAATGATTACGTTGATGACGAAGAGACGAGGGAACTTCTCAAAGATCCAGTTGCTTATGCTGAAAATGGACACTCAGTACAGAGTCGACGACAAAAAATTAATTCTCAGGGCCCTAACCCGCGGATAAATAGTCTAGTTTTGAATATGAATGCTAACGCAAATACTACGCCAAGACCTACATATCTAACAACTAATCCTGCAACATCTCAACCGAATACAAGCTCAATGACTCCAATTTCTGCGACTTGTTTGAACAATATTAGCTCGTCTATGTCCTACCGAGCTGGAAGGCAACAATTCCAGCGAAACAACTTCCCACTTGTCAATCCAGCCGATCAAAATCCTCCTTGTAACACTCTGTACGTTGGGAATCTCCCCATAGATACATCAGAAGATGAACTAAAGGCTATGTTCTCGAAGCAACGTGGATATAAGCGACTCTGCTTCAGAGCAAAACAGAATGGTCCAATGTGTTTTGTTGAATTTGAGGATATATCCTTTGCTACTAAAGCTCTCCATGAACTCTATGGCTATCCATTGCATAATAGTATAAAGGGCGGAATCCGGCTAAGCTTCTCTAAAAACCCGCTCGGAGTGCGATCAGGGCACTCAATGACTGTTCCAACTCGGTCCAACCACTCCGGAAATACTCGGTGCATTAATGGAATATCCACAAATGTTCATGGCTGCTTCTTCAGCACTGTGAGCGGTCCTCCTCCAGGACTAAACACTCCGAGGTTAGGTTCGAATCCTCCCGGCAGTAACATCTCGGCATCTTCAAAAACAAACTCTGATGGATTATATGTCAGCTCAAACAATATAGGTTACTGTAATACTAATGGCTGGATTCAGCCGGTATTTAACAGGATGATGACTGGTAGTGGACAATCATCCATGGCTTATAACGGATTTCCTGCATCCATGATAGGCAGATAGGCCTTTGACTGTGCGGTGTAAAATGGACCTTCATTCCATTAGAAAAATAAATAATCGGAAACTTAAACAGCCTCAACCTAATCACCTGAAGTATTTTCTGTTGTAAATTTTAATATCTGTACAATTCCCTTCAATCTTTCAACATTTCGTCGGAAATATTGGGAAAAATTATTCTACTATTATCAGCTATTATATGAAATTGCTTTCGCTGAGTTTTACGCATGTTGCATGGTGTTTATTATGATGCGATTCTTCCATGGCAATTATCTTCACTGGCGCAGGGGAAAATCTACGAACAAGAAATGGCAAAAATTAATGGTCTTTGGGAATATTTCACCTTTTCTTCCGTCCAATAGCGTCGGTTGTTTTATTTTCATCAGTTAATCAATCAATTTTAAGGATTCAAAAGTGTCGGCAGTGCAACTCCTAAAGAGCGAAGTACGGCCTGACAGTTACGTTCGAGGCTAGCCAGAAGGAAAAGAAGTTTGACGTTTGCGAATATTATTTATAAAATTGTAAGGCGTTACTTACGGTCAGAAGCCGTGGCGGGCTATCTTATCATATTTGTTGATTCTTAAGGGCTGATTTCTACGATACAGAAGCTACAAGAAAGATAACACGACGCTCCATCTTTGCGAAATTTGTACCACGGGCCATTAAACTAGGATTTTATCTATTCTACAGGTCTAAACGGAGGAAAAAGGTAAAGCTTCCATCAAAAATCCTACCTCGAGATGAGCCCGGATAGCGGCTGGCTAGCTACTCAAGTACATGGGCTCGAAATCAAAGCAGGAAAAGGACATTTCACATCCTTCTTTGAATCTCTTGAGAAATGCAGTGGTGTTGTTCATGAAGTGATAAATGAAGTGGAGTACTTCGGGTCAATTATGCTGGGTTTTAGCGTCGCAGGTCAGTGATTAGGAGTTTTAGGAAGAATAGAAAGCTGCGGGTGTCAGGGAAATGCATAGCCTTAAAAGCATAACCAAATAAACTTTGCTTTTCACTAGAATACCAAAACTTAGGCAAAAGTCTGGCCAATTATTGTAGCAAAATTAACTTTTCTTCATCTAGTATTTAATTAGCTAGAACATTTTAAAAAGTTAACTTTCATGTTTTCATACCTTGACGGGCCAATCCTGCAAGACCATTGTTGGGGGGTCCCCCCAAAGACTCTCAATCATGAGAGTCTTGTACATGTACCAAATAACAAAATGATTCCCAAACAGTACTGTCTGAACGTGATGGTTATTGGCAGTTCCAGCAACGGCTTACATGTAAATGCACGTGACTGTAGAGTCACACGGACCATGTAGAGTATACCAAGTAGTGTAGCATTGCTGACTACCACTGCCGCTTTCAGCACTAGGACGCTCTTCTAATCTGCGCTTGCGGGCTAGAAAAGTCTCCCGAGCACTTCTTCTTTCGTCGACTCAATCGGAGTCGGTCCCGCCTTTGCAGCGGAAATAAACACCCAACGACGGGAATTCGCTGGATCCTAGGCTCACCTGAAGGAGCCATAGCTTTTAGTAAATGGCTTCATGAAACGAGCTTTTTTGAAGCATGCAACAAGACTAACTAGTACCCCAAATTATATGCACTTGGCCTGTATTTGCTAGAGCTAGATTTAGAAGACTTCTGGTCTAGGTAATGGATAACTTTCCTTTTCATATATATAACTATCTTCTCTACTGTATTAGAATACAAAAGTCTTAGCTCGAGAGTACTTTTGACTTCTTTCGATAGTTCGGGGCGCATGGCAGGTAGGCCTTGGCCCATTTGTAACATGTCGGGCTTATTGAAAGGTATCGGCACGTCGGGTAGTTTGTGTAGACTGAGCTGGCCAACACGAGACCTTAAGGTTGTTTTGTTTTGTTTTGTTTATTTTGTCCTAAGCTAAAGCAATTTTTTCCACATTGGGTCAAGGACAGGTGGAGCCGGTAAGGATCACTGTATACAGGCCCAACTCATTCCAACCGCGTGAACTTCCACATAAGTGGTGGTGTTAACAGCAAAACAAAAAACAACTAAAATCAAAAACTAAAATCAAAAACAAAAATCAAATTTAGAAGAAATCCCTGTAGGTCCGGATCCCGCGCTTCTCGCCCGTTCCCTTTCCTGTCACATCTTCCAAGTGACACTTTCTGACCTTCGCTGAGAGCAGAAGATGAGCTCGCAGGCACCCTTTTCCCATCCGGTGTCCTACTGTTAGTATGTTGAAGCCTCGACGACTTCACTGAGGCTGGCCGCAACCTTAAACCTCCTCTTCGGATGCCAGAATCCCAAAACCCGATCCGTCTGACATATAGACGTCATTCTTCGCGCCGTGAATCGCCTAAATGGCTATTTCGGCTGCAGCTCTGATGCGAGTAAAATCTGCGTGATTTTTCTGCTCGATCTTGCGAATCATCGCAAGCAGCTCTTTTTTCACCGGGCCGAACTTTCTGGGCCTAGCTTTGCAGAACCGCGAGTCCGATCGATGAGGTCCCCCACAGTTTCGACACCGTGTGGGGGCTTTGCACTCCGTTTCAGAATGCATTTTTGATCCGCAGTTCCAGCAAGCCGGAGCGCGGGAGCAACCGCGTGAGGCATGGAAGCTAGGACATCGATTACACTGAACTATTTTTCGACGAGGTTGGAAGAGCTTTGCAGCTCCGGAGTCATCGAAGAGGCGAAATCCAGGTCGGGGCGTGGATTCGCGAGGGAAGAGCGCTTGCCAGTTCTAGTATGGCGCCCCGGGTTTGCTCGTCCCATGAGGACGAACAAGAAAAGGAACTGATTTGGTCACTCGCGTGACTTCGTCGGCGACCATCTTTTCCGTGATGAAAACGGAACCTGTGAGTGTATTAATTCTCAGCGGGACGGTGGCAATTAGTATGGCAACCAGATTTGACGCTGGTTCCAGTTTAAATCCCGATTCTCTCCGTTCTACGGAGGAATCAAGGAGCTCTTTTCGAGCGAGTTCATCCTTTGCTGTTAGCGCAAAGCCTGTTTTGACCCGCTGAACCAACGTGATGTTGTTAGCCGCGTCTCAAGGAGCCGTGTTATTAGTATTCCGTAGGGTACGAGTTTGGTACAAGTAGGTTACAGGTGTGGAGTATGTTGGTGATTTCTAAGAGTAGGAGGTATAAATTCAACGTTAGGTATAGGGTTCACGTAAGAAGTTAAGGTAAAATAAGTAGTAGGTGAGAAGGGTACAATAACGGCGGTCTTCTTTATAGAAGAGATAAGTAAGTGAACAATAGGTATGAGTATAAACAGAAGACGTTGCGTGAAGAAGAATACTCCTTCACGCTGGGTATATATGTACATTAGACAATAGGACAGCCCTAAGCTCTGTCTCGAACAGTATTACTACGCAATCCCTATGAAACGACTCTATGTTCCTGAGCCTGTCCTAATTGTTTGAGAACTTGATCTAACCCCGAATTGTGTTTTAGAATGGAACTCCCCATGAGACACCATCCTAGTTTCCGCCACGTTTATCCATGAAACCACGGTACCGAGTGCCTCTGAGACAGCTGATCTTACGCCAGCTGGTGCGAGGAGTCGGTGGGGATGGTCGTAATCGAGGCGTAGAAACAGTCGCGTATCGACCGCTGTCCTCGTATTGGCTCCCTTTGCTTTTGGAGCGGGTGGTGCTGCCTTTGTAGTCGACGGCCCGGCGCTGTGGACTAGACCTGCACGAGCTACTGTGGCCCAAGTCGTCTTTGGTGTCGGAGCCTGGGTTGTCGAAGGGTTAGGTACCCTAATTTCATGAGCCCTCGGCGGAGGAAGGTTGATGGGGCGCGCAGGGAGAGCTGGTGGAGAGCTCCCTGGGCCTGATTGTATGAACTGGCCGATGGCCGCTCGAAGGTAGACTTTGATACCGTCTACGAATTCTTTATTCTCGCCGATCGAAAGAGGCGAGAGTGCTGCTTCAACACTGCTTATTGCAGTGGAACAGATTGATAAACAGGCCTTTTTTTATTTTTATTTTCTTATAACATATTGTATTCAGCTATCTAGCTATGACAATATAAACGGGCCTTTATTTGCGTCATGCGACGCTTCTCGGTCTCCATCACTGATTGCAGCTCCGGAGGATATTCCGGTGCTGATGTCGAAGCTGTGCCTTTTGGAGTTGGCACAGTGAATTTTCTTGCGGAAGTTTCTGCTTGTTCTGTCGTCTTCTCTCGGACGACTTCCTTTCCTTGAAGTGCTTGCCTCCGGGACAAGCTCGATGGGAATGTTGGTCTTGGGACCAAGTTTCTCTGACCTGACGGGCTCAGAATCAGTCATCTCTTTATCGGGAAGGTTTGGAGACTTCCCTTCAATGAAGGCCTATCAAACTGTGGATAGTTTGAAGGCGATTAATGTCAGATATAAAGTTTAAGGAGTTAGGTTATCAAAGCTTGGAGTTACTTGTTTCGGAAAAAGGTGTTTCGCTTGGGCTGTAGCAATAAGAGCTCTATCTGTTCTGACTAGAGATGTTTCGTTCCAAACCATGAGAAGCCTGGTCTATGGGGACAAGTTGGGGACACATAGAGCATTTGCCATTTTCTAGACGCACATAATCTAGATAGTATCAGTAAGAGAAATGGTAGCCAGAAATTAATTGACACTTTTTACTTTTACTTCATACATTTTTCAATTGACTCGTAGAGTCTAACAAGGCCTCACTCGCAAACATGCTTGAAAGTTTTTGAGCGAGGCCTGGTGTTTTTGCAGGAGCCCTCGGGCGGACTCTCGCGTTGTCCAACATTGCGTTGGGGAGCTTTTTTTGAACAGGTGGCACGATAAAAGTACCAGCGACTCGATCCCAATTTATTGATGAAAGCGACGAGCGCGAGAGGGAGGGAGAGGGGGAAAAAGTGAAGTTTCGAAATTTCAAATTTCAAAAAATTGGTTGTTTTGTTTATTTTGTTCTAAGCTAAAGCTATGTTTTCCACATTGGGTCAAGGACAGGTGGAGCTGGCAGGGTTCCCTGTAATCTTTCCTACAGCCTAACTCGTTCTAACCTC